GCCGCCGGGGGGCGCGGCTCCCGCCGGAGGCGGCGGAGCGAATGTGTGCGTGTCACCTGCGGCCTCCAGGGGGCAGCAGCGGACCGGGGTGGAGAAGGGGGGGCACCAGGCGACAGCCACGGATCCTCGAGGCGCCGGCTGCGGGGAGAGCTCAACTCTGCGTCCGGGGCGCGTCCGAGCGTCGCCGCGGCCGGGATCGCGGCTCCCTCGGCCTGGCGGGACGATCGCAGTCGGGGTTGGCCGGCGGAGGGAGCAGCATCCACCCGTCCGCAGCCTCCCCAGCCTGGGTGGGAACCACAGAGTGCCGGGAGCCGGCGAGGGAGGGACGGTCGGGGCGCCCCAGCCGGGGCGCGTTCCCAGACGCCCGGTCCTCGGCATCTGGTCGTCCCCTCCAGGGGGGCGGTCTCCGGTGCGGGTCTCTTAACAATGGTGTGGACCGCCGGCGCGAGCCCCGCGTCCGCCCAGCGGCCGTAGAGGAAGTGGCGGCGCTCGGGGTGGGGTGGGCCGGGAGACGCCCCCCCCCTCCCCAGCCATTCGCTCGCTGGAGTTTGCGCGTCTTGACCTCGCCGGCTTTGGGTTCCCCTCGGGATCATCGACGGACGCTCGATCCCGAGAGTATGGTGCCAGCGCCCGGGTTAATCTAGTTCTCGATTCACTCCTTCCTCCTCCTCCTCCTTCTTCTCCTCCTTCACCTCCTCCGCCTCCTCCCCTCCCTCCTCCCTCCGCTCCCGCCGGGGCTGCCTCTGGGTTCCCGGCGAGTGGGAACGAGTGCAACAACTCTGCCTCTCCGAGGAGACCGGCGGGTGACCACCACTGAACAGAAACGCGGAACCAGCCGGATAATGTCCACCCCGAGCAGATTCAAGAAGGACAAAGAGATCATTGCCGAGTATGAAAGTCAAGTCAAAGGTAAGGGGTGGGAGCGGCTGGCCCGGCTCCTTTTGTGTGGTTTCTTGTCATTGTGTTCTTGGAGTTTGCCTGTGGAACTTGGGGTCGGCGTGGGAGGAAGGTGATGGGGTGGGGGTGGGGGGGCGATCGAGCCGTGGCTGAACCCTACACACACACACACACACACACACACACACACACACACACACGCCTTCTCCCCGTTGGGTGGGGTGGGTCGCCTAGAAGATAGTCCAGGCTCCGATCCCAGTCCCGTCAGTTCCACGGGGAACTCCATCCCGGGTGGTTTCCCCTGGGTGCCAGCTCGAATCTCCGATTGGGAGAGAACGGGCTTGAACTTAACCACCTTGAGCTGACCATTTTACCAGGGAGGGCCGGGTGTGCCGCGAGGGGGGGTGTCTTGCGGGGGGGGTGGTCGCAGTCATCATTCTTTTTATATGAAATCATTGTCCAGGCATGGGTTTTGTTTTGTTACTTGCCCTCACCCCACCCCCGGAGTCATTTTGTGAAGACTGGACAGCCCGGCGTGTCCAGCTTCACCGAGTGAACCCTGAAGCAGACATTCACACTATTTATTAGGGCAAGTCACATACCCCCCACTTCCCCTCCGTTTTTTCCTTCTTTTTCTTTTTTTAAAAATGAAATAGCTCCAGGAGAGCACCTGGCAGTTAAATCCAGCAGGGACTTGGTGGATCTGACTCCTCCTTTATCACTGGCTGGAATTCAGGGCCATCTTTCACACTCGGTGGAGAACATTGCTTTATCATGGACCGGGAGAGGAACCTGCGTGTAAATCGCAGGTTTGGATATTAGATCAGGAGCTTCAATCCTTTGCTGTGAGGACCAAGGAGGGAAACTTAATTAACATCTATTAAGCATTTTTACTTTATGTATATTGTGATTAAATATATATATATATATATATACATTTCTTCTCTGTAATACTTTGTTTTGCCCCCACTAAGGTGTTTTCTAAACACATGCATATTTATGTTTGCTGGTTGGCTTTTACTTTTATGTTTCCCCCCTCTGTATGAGCTCTCTGGTTTAGACAATGGGAAGAGTGTTGAGATCTCCCTTGCTCCTTAATACATACATTTTGAAGTTGAAAAGAATCACTATGTCGACACCTGTGTTTGTGGGTATATCCTCTTGGGAAAGAGCAGAGAGAACACTTTACTTGCTTTGGGGAAGCAGCAGAGATGGAGCGTTCTTTTGTGGGATCAAGTTTTGAAAATGCTGGAGAGTTGAAAAAGGACTGGGGGCTGGTAGGTGGGAGAAAGCCAAGTGTGAAAGTGAACAGTGACCAACTCCCACTCCGCCACACCTGAGATGCACACGGGAGATTCCTTTGAGCCCTTCTAGAGTGGAGTGAAGCGAAACATTGTTAAGGACACAGATTTTTTTTTTTAATTTTCTACCTGGAATTAAGATAATTTATAGTTGTAAGGACTTGTCACAGTGCTTTGGAAGCTGTATGTATCAGCAAGAGAAGCAATGCTTTTCTTGGAGCTAGGGAAACTTTGTAATAGGGATTACCTTTCTTTTCATACATAATGAGTCCCCAAATGGCTGAAATTCTTTCATTCAAAGAAGGTAGTACTCTTGGTCACAACCACCATGGCCCCTGTGCTTGTTTTTCACACAGATCTTCTGGTCTTCAGGCAGTCCGCTTTCTCTGCTGCTTGAAGCATCGACTGATAACTTTTACTTCCACACATCTTTTCTGGTTTACTTATTTCCACTCTCAGGTCTATGATCAAGTTTTTATTTGGAAAAAAAATCTTTTTTTTTTTTCTAGTGTATAAGTTCTACTGTTTTCCAGTTACATCTGTGCTTGGGAGTTTATTCTCTCTACTAAAAATCAATTAGGCCCTGTGTATTGGCCCACACCTGTAATCCCTGCTACACAGGTAGCATTGGTAGGAGGATCACTAGCCTGGCCACTTTTACTTCTCTCCCCGTCCCAATCCCTTCCCCACAAAAATTCGGACATTATTAAAAAAGGATTAAAGAATACGGATTCAAATAACAAGAGTACCTGGAGAGCTGGAGTTCAAACCCCAGGTCTGCCTAAGAAATTAACTCAGTGAAATGAAATATGTTACAATGTGTTTACCAAAGCTAATCCAAGAGAAAATTATGAACACTGTGAAAGGAATTTTTTGAAAGGAATTCTCTTTCACAAAAACCGACCTTTGCCTTCTTTCCTTCAGCACTCTTCCCTCACACACCCAAGAATCCTTAGGCTACTGTAGGACTTCCTGGTACCTGCCCTGCCCTGCCCTGTGGTCATACTTTATCTTCCCTGGTAATCCTTTCACTGGCTGAGTCTGAAGATCTTCCATTCATGTGCAAACTTGGGAATTGGAGATACGGTGGAGGAGGAATCCTGCACCCATGACGTGGGACCAATTTACCTTTGCTCCTAGACTAAGTGCAGGCAAAAGTGAGAAATGAGTTTACTAGTGCCTGAAGTCTACTGCCCTGGGCTGGGAGAGTAGAGGCCTCCAGAAGGGCAGCCTGGGTGGACAGGCTCTGGTTTTGTGCTCTGTGCTGAGTGCTGAAGTGTACGCATTTTAGCCTTGTGCTAAAATTGAACAATACAGGTTTTTTTTGTGTGTTTGTGTTTGGCACAACCTGTTCTAGCTAATCACTTCATCTGATGATAAACAAAAGTAATTGATATATTTCTGTGCTCAAGCCTACCCTGGCAGTGTTAGACTCAACACAGAAGTCTCTTCCCAATGGGTAGAGTCACTTCTGGAATCTAGGCTGACGGAAGATTACAAGAACCATTCTGATGCCATGTGATCTTTTCATCTTCCAACTGTGAAGTATTGTCCTATAACCCTGACAGCAATCATGTATATCTCAGGATTTCTGAGATAATTTTTGATCTTAAGAAATGATTCTTGATGTGGGATTTTTACCAATATAATTACTTTGCTAAGGTTTGGGGAACATCATCATCATCATCATCATCACCATCATTTATCATATTTAAGGCAAGTCACTTTCTCTCTGGGGCTTGGTTTGCTTACCTGGGGAATTTGGGTTTTCTTAATCCTAATGGTCTTTAAATCTAATTGAAGATGTGCTCTACTTTGTAGACTCAAGAAGCTTAAGATCAGAAGCATCACAGTTCAAGGCTAGCCTTAGTAAAACGTTGAAACTTCTTCTCAACCAATAAAAAGCCAGGTGCAACAGTGCATGTCTGTCACCCTAGCTACACTGGAAGTGTCAATAATAGGATCAGGGGCCAGTCTGGCCCAGGGGAAATAAATAGAAAGGAAAATCTTATTCAAAAAAACAATAAAAGGGCAAAAGATTTGGCTCAAATGATAAAATGCCTACCTAGCAAGTGAAAAGCTTGATTTCTAACACTGGTTCTATTTCCTCAATTAATAATACATTTCATAGTCTTTTTGAAAAAGATATTAGAAAATTAGCATAGTAATGGAAAAAAAAACTTGTCTTTGCTAGTTTGCTTCTGCTTCACTGGAAAATAGAAAATAATTAGGAGAAATCAGTCTATGTGTCTCCAATACAAGGTAATACAGGGCTTCATTAAACATTTATTGAACGAATAGATTAAGGTTTTGGAATGACAATTTGTCATAGTATCAATTAATATGGTGCTCATTCACAATTATCTAGGACATGCCACCCTGTATTACCTCAACATTCAGTTGAATTAAAAACACAACTTCTTAGAAAGTCACAAAGCTGCAAATAGTTATATGTGTCCCTTAGTGGGTAAATGGTTAACTGAATTCTACCAGAGAACCAATGAATAGCTAACTAACTTGTACACATAGAATGTTAGCCAGTCATTAACGATGGTTTTTGAAGAAAAATTTTATGATATGGTGAATAATGTTATACTAGCTGAACCAAAAAAGCCTATAAAATAAATGATTGTGTAAATATTTACATGAAAGATAGTCATACTACAGCTTACATTATTGGGCAATAGAGGTCATATTGATGACTGTAGACCTAGAAGATGCCTAACAGAGGAATGAATGTCTGCTTGGCTCTCCTGCTTGGAGTAGCTTATACTTCTTTGTATTTTTGGACCATGGTACAGTGCAATCAGCCAGTGGTAAGTTTTCAGACCTAGGAAGCTAGCTTTCAGCATTACCCTCCTTGAGGATGGGAGTGGGCAAAAGGAAATTCAAGAAAAGCTTAGATTTTTTTCCCCCCCTGTATCTCAACTTGGTTGATTTGGGTTGATCCTCTGGTAATCACATTTGTCCAGGACAATTACCTGCTTCCTGGTTGCTTGAAACACTTTAGTTAATACATCTTTGCTGGATAGGCCTCTCCCAACTTACTGCCTTCAATAAGGTCCCAACTCCTCCTTTTTAATCCAGTTCCCAATAAAGCTATAATTTATAAATCCATAAAGGGATTATTGATTAATCCCTTAATTTATTGATTAAGTCTGGGCCCTCAGGATCCAGTTACTTCCCAAAGCCCATCAGCTCGCAGCTAGACCCCAATATGTGAACCTGTGGGTGGGCACCATTAAAACCATAATTTCCCCTGGTGTACACACACAGGAGGATCTCTGTGTGTACTTCTAAGTCATGGAGAACGTGTGTGTTCAGCTTTACTGGGTAATGTCAAACTTTTTTTTCCCAAATGGCTGGACCCATGAAACCAGTGTCTTAAAAATCTAGATGTGCTGGGCGCCAGTAGCTCACACCTGTAATCCTAGCTACTCAGGAGTAGCTAGGGCTCCATGCTTGGACTCCCAAGCATGGAAGTCCATGAGACCCTTATCTCCAAATAACCATCAGAAAAATGGAAGTGGCTCTGTGGCTCAAGTGATACAGCTTCATCTTTTTTTTTTTTTTTTGGGTCCGGTCGTGGGGCCTGAACTTTGGGCCTGGGTGCTGTCCCTCAGCTCTTCAGCTCAAGGCTAGC